TAGATGAGCCGCTAACAATGAAATATCGGGACTGCATTGATTTGCGGGGATAGGAATCGGCAAGATCTGTGTTTCTCACCAGTGATCAACTGGCAGGAGTGTTCCGATCTTCTCGAAGTGCCAACGTTTTAGAGACGGTGGCAGGATGGCCTGGCTTCCAGATCACTAGGAGGTCCCCCTCAGACCTGACTGCAAGCCTCACACACTCGAAACCAAAGTGGGCACGTGGAAATACCAGCTACTTCCGACCCCAGGGCAGCAACCTGACTCTGGCGCACAGCCGTCGTACATCTGAGGCGTCTTCTACCTCCCGGGAGGACGGGCAGAGAAGTCTCTAGCCACAGCCCTGCCCAGGACAGGTAGCAGGGGCAGCGGGCAGTACCCTGAACCTCAAAACCGCCTGGAAGACACAAGAGCTGGATGTGTCTTAGCCTTGTCTGGGCACGGATCAACAGCGGCATGTGAACTACCTGCCTGACAGAATTACTGTCAGAGGTATGGTCCTACAGGAGAGGTGTTAATACAAGAAAAAAAAAATCAAGCATCTTAAACATTCCAAAAATGGGACTAGAATTAGGCAAACTTTATCCATTACTAAGAGCCTTGTAGGTGCCACACCCTGAACAGATCAGGTTGGATGTTCCAGAATCTTAACCCATCTGGTTTCCAGATTTCTGTCCTAAGGTGATTCATCTGTGCGGCCCGTCCTAATGCTGAGTCTCAAAACAACCTTGTGAAATAGCTACAAAACACTGATTTCCTTCTCCTTGCTGTAGCTGAGGAAACTGAGGCTCTGAGAAGTAAAGCAAAGATACGGCCCAAAGCTCAGAAGCTCACATCACAGCGGAGCTGGAACTGAAGTCCAAGTCCCCTGCATCTAAGACCAGCGATCGTTTCCCTACACCAGGCGGTCCACTCTGCCTTTTGTCACTGCATCCAGAGAACCTGGGCCCTGACAAGTGATGGTGCACGAGCAAGCGGGCATGTGGCGGGAACTCGCAGGGAAGTGTGGCACACCCCCAGATTCTCACAGTCAGGGCAAGTGTACTTTGACATTTGTAATTCATAAGCAAATAAAGGATGTGCCATGCAAAAGAATTGTCCAGAGCATTCAAGGATTCTCTGCTTGTTCAGTGTTTCCTTCCCACTCACATGCTGCACAAGTGGTGATGGCAGTCCATCCCGGAGTCCCCATGCAAGCGGTCCATGGCTCCTGCAAAGGGGCTGGGTCCTCTTACAAATGTCTTTTGCTGAGGGGAATCATCTCAGGACCTCCTGGAACTGTGGAGGTGGACCCAGAGCCCAGCCTCCGACCAGCAGGGCAGCGCTCTTCACTCTCACTAGGACCTCTGGACAGTTTACCACGTGCCTTTGAGGGAGGTTGAGAGTCTCACGCTCGCACCGGCCTCTGCCCTCTGTGGGCGCTTGGCACCAGACGCACGTGTCAGCACCAAGGAGAGCGACCAGTGCAGTGAGTCCCCACGCAGCCCCTCCCACCTCCCCAGGACAGGACCAAACTGATTTCACAGAACACACCAGAAGTTTTCGTACAAGTCCTGGGGGGCTGTCCAGGGTGAACCACGGCACATCTGAAGCTCCGACTCCAGAAAGGCCCCACGTTACTCTGCTGGTGGGCAGTGGAGGCAACCCAACCAACAGGTTTGTCTTGCTGCCCCAATAAACCCCACCACCATCTGGACCCGACAGGAGACACCATTGCATTTCTGCAGGTGCCTTAAAAACATTCAGATTAAGTATTTTTCCTCTCGTTCCAAGCACTTATCACACTTCGAGAGGGGCGGACAATGGTGACGATTCAGCACAAAACCCAAAGAGGGAAGTTTGCACCCATCACGCAGCAGCCTGCCCCACCACCGCCCTGCTGTTGTGTGCACAGAGCTCTCCAAACCCACCTCACTTCCAGCCATCTGTCCCAGGGCAAGTTCAACTCATCTTACCTGTTCAGGTTTCCTTTTCTTCTCTTTACAGCCGAGACACCAAGATTTTGGGGGGCATCTCTCAGCCCAAAGCTCTTAGCCACATGACCAAGGTGCAGCGATCGGACGTGGAAGATGTGCTTCAGCTCCCGGGGGTAGGTTGCATAGGCTCGAATGAAGGACTGCAGAGCTGGGAGGAAGAGGAGGGTGAGGGAGGCCGTCAGGATGGGGTCTCGAAGCGCCCGGGCCTAATGGCTGTCCTACGCACTTTACCTTGCCAGGCACCCTGAGACAGTCAGGACAGTACAACCTAAATCTATCCTGGTGTATTTTCTTTTTAAATCATCAAAAGAAAAATCTACAGGACACAAGTATCACTTGAGTAAACCCAATAGAATTTCAGATTTTACTGTGTAGTGTGCAAGAACCCTAGAGGACAGCGGCCCTCTTTTCTCCTCACTATGGTCTTGGGGCCTTGCACAGCAGCTGGGACACGGCAGCAGGCAGCTGGTCAGTGTTTGTCATAGAAACGAAAGACAGAATGAGTGAAGAAACTAAGACATGATCAATGTGGTATTTTCTCATGAAAAATGAAATCATCAGACTTTTATATTAGGAAAAAATTTTCCTAATTCAATTTATTTTTTCAATTGCTAACACATGTAAATGTTACACAATTCAAAAGGTTCCCATGGGTTTATTGTGCTTCCCATCACGGTCTGTTACTCCTGCTATAAATGTTCACGCCACAAGCCCCGCCTCCAGGGCCCCTATCCAGAAGGGTGACTCTTCTTCCTGTACTCCTGGGATTTTAAAACGAAATTCATTCCAAAGTACCCGATATTGACTGCTAAAGGGCTTCTTACCCATTTGAAAAACGCATAAATAAGGAAACGCAGGGTGCCTGGGTGGCTCAGTCGGTTGAGCGTCTGACTCTTCGTTTCGGCTCAGGTCATGATCTCACAGTTTGTGTTTGAGCCCCGTGTCGGGTTCTGTGCTGACAGTGCGAAGCCTGCTTGGGATTTTCTGTCTCTCCCTCTCCCTCTCTCTGCCCCTCCCCTGTGCACGCGCAAACTCTCTCTCAAAATAAACTTTAAAGAAAAAAAAAAAAGGGAATGAAAAGTTTTAAAAAGGAGAAAGGCAGTTATTAAGTTTCTAAAAGAGCCCACAAAACAGTTCCTTCCTTGAGAACTGCCAACAATTTAGAGATGTCCCCAGACACACCTTCGTGAAAGTTTCAGCCCTATTTGAAAGTTGAGAAAAAGGCCCCTGTTCTAGAGTCAGCACTGGCTGGAAAAAAGGCAGATGTGGTTCCCAGGAGCTTGGAGCCCCGGCTACACCATTTTTCGGCGTTCCTCTGAGAAAAGAAAGCTGTCCCTCCACCCAGCTCCCCTCAAATACACCGCAATTCCAGTGAAAATCAAGTGTCTACCTCTCCTCACTCCAACAGGGCAGGAGGGGACGGCTCTGAAAAGACCCCAATACCGGCTCTTCCGGCGGCCAGGCCCGAGTCCAGCACCGCGCATCTCACGGAAGAGCAGGTGCTAAATACCAGCCTCTCTCGCCCTTGCTTGTTGAGCCACTGGACTGGCAAGTTTGCCCACAGCTTAGACGTAATATCCCAGCAGCACCTGGAGATTGGCGTTTATGAACAGTAATAAAAAGTGTCATTTTAGCAGATCAGCTGCTGGAAGGATCCTGGGAATCCATCAAAGCTCTATTTACTGAGTAAAGTGAACTCCTTTTCCCAATCGATGAGAAATAATAACCAAGGCAACTTGTCTGCACCCCTCTCTGAAATCTGTGCCTGCTTCCCCTTTTTAATAACCGGGGACCAGCTTTTCCCAGGGAAATCTCTAGCACTTCAAATGGTCTGTGCTGTTCGGAGGTTTTGACACCAGGTTCCAGACATGGAGCTACAGACTCCAGTCTCAAGAAAGCTGCTCGGCTACCTTCCAGGAGATGCTCTACACCTCTTCTCTACATCCCTTTCTTTCCAGACCCTCCATATTTACTCTCCTCTAAAAACAAAAACAGACCGAAACCATGCCAAGTCAGGCCAAGCCAAAGAGTTTGCACTTTTACAATCTCAGTCCCCCGAACGCTGGCCCAGGCCTCCTCATGACCACCACTGTCCCACTTAGGCAGATCAACCTCCCATTCCCGCACCAATCCGAGGAGCCAAGGAGGGACAGCCTCTGTCTCAGAGACGTGGGCGCCCAGCTGACAAGTTTTCCAAGAAACGGCAGACGTGTCTTCTCCCTCCACAAGCGCTCAGGCAGCATTTCACACTGCATATGTTTACCAACCCTGCCTGTCCTTAAGGCTGTCTCACTGGGGACAACGATACTGGGCTGTCCTCACATCCTTGAATGGACTCCCACGTTTTGATGGTTCAGAGAAGCAGGAACTTCAGGAGCAGCAGAAGCTGTCTGCAGACCCTGCCGAGGGGCGGCGTCAAGGACGGGTGGCGGAAGTGGGGGCTGGGGGACCCGGAGGAGTGGAGAGCAGAGAAAGAAGGCATTTGCTTGAGATGGCGGAAGAAGCCGTGGCCACTCACAGCACGCGCTCCGTAGTCGCGGGCTCCCATCTCACACCATCTCACAGCCGTAAGGGAGATGCATTAAGGGAAACCTATTTTAAAATACCCCACACGGACACCTCATCCTTGTTCATAAAATCAGATTTATTCTTGGACATCTGACCAAGAACAGTAGTATCTTACGGATGATACTTAGGATCAAGGAGGTAGGAAGGAGCGAGACTCTAGCCTGGGAGGGAACCTCGGCCCTGCCCCCAGAAGAACACACATCTGTACGGAGTAAAGGCACACTCGGTTGAGTACCTGCCTACCTGGGACTGCACTGAGGGAGCGGCTGATCTGTCATCGGTGGTTTGGGTTTTCTGGACTCTCAGCAACAGCCCTGCAAGCCAGGCACGGCTCCTCCGCACGTGGTCCCTGCTCTTCAGGGAGACCTGAGGCTGAAGGACCACCACAGGAAAGCCGTCTTCTGTGAGGAAAGGACCCCAGTTTCCAAAACTTTTGTTCGGGAGTCTTAAGTTCAAACCAGTTTTTTTTTTTTAATTTTTTTTTAATGTTTATTTATTATTGAAAGTCAGAGACAGTCAGAGCGTGAGCAGGGGAGGGGCAGAGAGAGAGGGAGACACTGAATCCGAAGCAGGCTCCAGGCTCCGACCTGTCAGCACAGAGCCCGACGCGGGGCTCGAACGCACAGACTGCGAGATCGTGACCTGAGCCAAAGCCGGATGCTTAACCGCTTGAGCCACCCAGGCGCCCCAAGTTCAAACCAGTTTTTAACCACTGGGATCTCTAGCTAACAGAGGCAAGAAATGAAGGAAAAGGGGTACCTGGGTGGTTCGGTCAGTTAAGCATCTGACTTGGTTTCGGCTCAAGTCGTCATCTCATGGTTTGTGGGTTCAAGCCCTGTGTTGGGCTCTGCGCTGGCAGCATGGAGCCTACTTGGGATTCTCTCTCCCTCTCTCTGCCGCCCCTTCTGTGCGTGCTGTCTCTCAAAATAAATAAATAAACTAAAAGGAAAAAAAAAGAAAGGAAGGAAAGAAATGAGGGTAAAAAGGGGCGACTGCTGCTGGAAACGGACAACAATTAAATGCTGGTTATTAACAATGACTGGGCCAGAAAATGCAACAGGAAGACAAATGCATACTTGGCCCAGTTTCCAACTACTTTTCTGCCATAAAGGCAAAAACCAGCTGCTCTGTTAATTATTCATGAGGTGGGTTCTGAAATAAAACGGAGGCAAGTCAGCAGTGGGGAATCTGCATATGCAGACGAAATGCAGAAGACAGTTTCGACTTCCGGGGTGCGGTCGCTGTCCCCTTGTGAACTGAACACCTCTGCCGTAGCAAGTGCGTGTACGCACCGCCCCGCCAGACCTCCAGAACTCACCATGCTAAGCACCAGGGGAGCAAAGTGTGGAGACGCCGAGATCTAGAACAGGGCACTTTCCCCCCAGACCACCAACAATCTGACGTGGCAATCAATTGGCAGAGAAGAGAAATGCAGGGTTATTTCCTTCTTGGTACCTAAACATTGCAGAGTGGCCCCGTTCAGGTACCCTTTAAAAGGAAGGCAAGTAGGGCACCCGGGTGGCTCAGTCGGTCGAGCATCCGACTCTTGATTTCAGCCCAGATCATGATCCCAGGGTTGTGGCATCAAGCCCCGCGTCGGACTCAGTGCTGAGCGTGGAGCCTGCTTCGGATTCTCTCTCTGCGCCTCCCCCCACTTGCATGTTCTGTCTCATGTCATGTTTAGTAAGTAGAAATAAAAAAAAATAAAAGTGATACTAGGAAAAAAAAGACAGAAAGCCAGGAGCTCCGCTTGCTTCTTGGTATTAACGACTTCAGTGGTAACCACACTCTCCAAGGACGCCACGACAGCCTTACTTTGGTGACCCAGACACCTGAAGAAGGCTGTAGTCTCACTAGAGTGAGACACCTCAACCACCTCTGGCGTCAAAACCAAAGGTGAAGAGGACGGGGGGCTTTCTTGCTTTTCATCGCAATGCGCTACGAAGCCAGAAATTCCGCGGCGCCACAGCTGGACGTGCACCACCCAGCAAGCTCACCTCGCCTGTCAACAAACGACCGATCTCCAGTTACACTGTGACAAGCCATCCATTCCTCTCGGGAGACACGTGCCAGTACTTCACTGAAGGCAGGTTCTTAGGAAAACCCTCAGGAATTGTTGAATTCACTTTCGGGAAATGTCAGGACAGCCTGCTGTTAGAAACCCGTCCAGCAGGACGCACGCTACCTACGGAGCAGCGGGGACGGGGCCACCGCCAGGATTTCATCTTTTCTCCTGTGTAGTTCTCATTTGGTCCAGTGTGGTGGCAACAGCCAAGGGCTGCTTTCGTGATGTGCCAAGGTGTACGGTAGGCACTCAAAACCGTTTGCTGACTAGCCCATTCTTGTCATCTATTTCCTGATGGCCACGACTGTCTGTAACCAGTCCCCCAGCATTCACCCTTGCCCCCCAGATTCTATTCTCACGTAGGCCGTCTTTTCCGACCCCTGTAGACCGTGCCACATCTCTGCTCCAAGTCCTGCAATGGCTCCCACTGCGCTCAGGGGACCCCAAAGCCCTCGACAGCTTCCAAGCCTGCCTCTGCTACGCCAGCCTTCCCTTCCTTCCTGTGGACACACTGCCCCCCCCCCCCC